AGTGAAATCGAGATACTGAACAGAAGCGAGTGGGTGTATCTACTAGAGTACATGAGAGATGCCATACGAAGAAAATGTGGCTGGCCGAAATCAAGTTTATAGCCTTATTGTGGCTGCATTCTGATGATGTGGGCTCTGAATTGGCAAGATGTGGGATACTAGAGCAGGCATGCACCCCAACTTTCATGTAGGAGACACTGCTTAGTCAATGCTAAGCTTTAAGGTGGAAACTCCAGTTTTTAGTCCATATCCTGGCTGACCAGTAGGGCTAGGACTTCTGATGAGCAGAATATAGGTATTGGGACCACCTGGAGCCTTGCTTCTCAGACTCGAATGTGCATGTGAAACCTGGTTGGAATGCAGGTGGAGATGAGGCCAGATTTGGCATCTCTAACTAGGCACCTTGGGGATGCTGGTCTGCTGGGCCCTGAACCACACTCTGAGTACAGGGGTTCTAGATGAATGTGGAATTCTGGTCAAGCTGTCACTGTCACTGTTATTATTTAGTTATAGTCCTCAGTTTAACCTGTGACTGTGGTTTATCCAGGCAAGAGTTTAGTCTCAACTGAACCAGAATTATAGCCTATTGTCAACTCTCTAGTCATCTAACTCAAAAGGAAGGAATGCAAGGGATGAATGTGGGTCATTACATTTTAATTCTTTTTGTTGTTCATGGGAGGAGGTGATTTCATTACATAAGCTTTATAAATAAACTAACTTCTAAATAATGACCTAGTGGAATTCTCATTTCTGAGGCATTTCCTATCAGGAGAGGCTGAGACACTGATAATTTGTTTTAAAATACATTCTGTTTGGGTACCAGTTATTATTTTTATGCTTCTCCTGTGTTTCTCAATATAAAAAACACATATGGATGTGTATATATGTGCATGTGAGATCTATGAACATATAAATACATATTTAGGGGGAAGTAATGTTTTCCTTGAATTTGTGTCACCCTTTTTCTCTTACCCTCCCCTCCTCACTCACTCTCTCACACACACACAGAGACACACACACACACACAACCTATCAATCTTAAAGGAGTCCTGTAAAAATGGACAAAGCAGGCAGGCATTTAAAATTATAGTAATGACAGAGAAAGTAAAGCCCAGAGTTGGGAGAGAGAACACCTGGGGCCGGATGTTTTGCTTCTGATTGTTTCTCTCTCTTATTCTAGAAAAGCTCTCCAAGCCCAAGATTTTTTATGACACCAAGTCCGAGGTGATAAAAGGACACACCGTGAAAGTCAGTTGCCAAACCACAAATGGAACCCCGCCTATTTCATATCACCTTTTAAAAGCAAATAACATTTTGGATAGTCGTAACATGGACTCACATGAGCCTGCAGTATTCAGAGATAACCCAACAGAAGACGCAGAATATCAGTGCATCGTGGATAATTGCCATTCCCACACTGAAATGATCACTGAACTTCTGCCTCTCAAGGTGGTAGGTAAGTTGCTGTGCTATGACAAGAAATCATGTGAATTTGGGGCTTTAGTTCCAATTTTCAAAAGTTTGTGATTGCCCGGGAATTGTGTGGACAGTGGTCGTGGATAGTACTTGTGCAAAGTCCATCAACATGACACGTGGCAAAGCAGAACCAAGGCCCAGGTAAATGAGGCTGGAAAATATCTGGGGGCTATAGTTGTGGCCAGGAGCATCCCTTTTCAGAAACTTTCAAGTGAACTGCTAAAATAGGAGTGAAGCATCCCAACTTAAGGAAGCTCTAAAGTTGCACTTTGGGGCTCTCTGAGCACTTGCTCCTTTCTAGAGGAATTGACAGTCATCTCTAGTCATCTCTGAGAATTGTAGACCAGAGACCTCTGGTCTACAATTGACCCTGGGCGAGGCAAACTCTGTCATGTGTGGAACCCACAGCGATCATTGCTGCAGGCTGTAGTCTCATGGGACTTGCTAAAGTTTGCCCGGGACTCTAATACTCAGAAGAAATATGCCATTGTCCTAGAGTGGATGTTTTTCCTTGAGCCTCTATCTATGCCTTTCAGAAGGCTTAGAAGTGCCATGACTTGCATCTCTGAAATTTTCTGCATCTTGTTGTAAAAAATTATAAGGCTTCCTCCTCTTCCTCTTCTTTCTTCTTGTTTAATAACTTCTTATCTACATATGGCATGGGGACATCTTGAGTTGGAAAGAGATTCCTGCTACTATTAATATATAGTCTAAGAGTAGCGATGCTTTTCAAATTAACATCAACATATATTAAGCACCTAATGCTATAGGGCATGTTGGAAAAAAAAAAGACATATTCTTTGTTTTCAGTGATATAACAAGAAACACAGGAACCCCTGATTAAATAGTGGGAAAATATGTGACCATAGTTAAATAAGAGTACAAACAAACATAAAAAAATATTAGTAGGCAACATGTTATTGTCACATGAAATATCCTCATGATGATGGCGATTGGTATTTAGAGCATGCTATCACCTAGCTTGAGTGGGAAGAGCTGGATCAGGAGCCGGGGCTTGGTAATGGCGAGCAGAAATGGCTAGAGCTGGCCTACCAGCCTGGTCAAATACATGAGCAAAGTCTCCATGGAGTAGTTCAAAAGACTATGGGTAAATCAGATGGCTGGATAAAAAGGTTGAGAATGGAGAATCATTGGATATAAACTCAAAAAGCGACTGACCCAACTATTAAGGGCATTAAATGCCATAGGAGCTGGGAATTTGCCCTCCGTGCAGTGAAGAGCCAGAAGAGGGAAGGAGGACATGATGAGAATGGGGTCTTGGGAAGATTTACCTGGTGTCTTTATCAGTCAGAAGGATAGGCGACTTCAGACCTCATACTGCCTTAAGAAGCTAAGCTAATATAAAAGCCCGTGGGAAACTGTTGGTTTAGATTGGGTCCACATTAGTGGCTAACATATCCTGAGCCCTGACGATGTGTCCACTTTTGTGTGAAGTATTTTCGTAAATTATTCCCATTAATATTTACATTAGTTGTTTTGTGATGAGGCAACTGAGACTTGAGACAAACAGCTGATGGGCAGTGGGGCTGGGAATCGAAGCAAGGAACTCTGGCTCCTGACCCCAGCTTGCCACTACCCCTTTGTGGTTCACAAGGAGAGAGGCTGTCAGGTCAGGCTGTCCTTGTGGTTGACCTCCACCACCCCTCCCATCCTGTCCCAGGCAGGGTGCTCCCTTTCATTGACCCAGCAGCTCCATGGTCTGGCCACCTGCTGCACTTATGAGGGTGATTCATAACTCAGATGCCAGTGTGCCGACAAGTCCATTCTCACGGTAATAGAAAGATCTACATGGAAAGACAATTTAGTATCAAAATTTGAGAACTGAATGTGGAACCAGGGAAAGGGAAGATGGGAGAAAGATAAGTTCTGCTTTGATCTGCTGGGAATGAGAGGCTGGCAGGGCTTTCAGGTGGAAAAGCCCAGGTAAAAATCAAGACTTGGGATTCAGGGAAGTAGTCTGGACTAGAGGTATGTATTTAGGCATTAAATGCTATGTGCTTATGTGTTAAATATGCAAAGAGAAGCTGTGATACAGGTGAAATCACCAAGGAGAATGGAGATGGAAAACTGAGGACTGTCTACAGCCATGGCACCCTGAACAAGCCCGATCCCGTCTGATCTCGGAAGCTAAGCAGGGTCAGGCCTGGTTAGTACTTGGATGGGAGACCACCTAGGAAGACCAGGTGCGGTAGGTGTAAAAAATAAAAAATAAAGGATTGTAAGCTGACAAGTTCCTTGCAATCTGTGAGGTCAACCAAGGGTCGCCTCGCCTAAAAAAAGAAAAAGAAAAAAAAACAAAAAGCAAAAAAAACTGAGGACTGGATTTTGCAGAAAATCCATATTTAAGAGGCAGTAGGATGGAAAGTAGTGAATAATAAGGGAGTGACAGGTGAGGAGATAGGAGAATCTGGGTCGCGAGGCATCACAGAAGCCCAGAGGAAGCTGAGTTCTAAAGGAAGTGCTGGGTGACAGTTGAGAGCTGTAGGAAGGCCGAGGCTGGGGAGATGGGAAGAATATCTACCACCAGATTTAATCTGCTGGGGGCTCAGGGATGAGTTAGGGAATCAGGTGACCTTTGGAATTTCTTCAAAACCAGAGATAGAGTACAGTTTCAGAAGCAGAGCAATGGAAGTCAGATGTCAGGGGTAACAAGAAAGTGGGAAATAAGAATGTGAAAGCAATAGGTTTAAACCACTCAAAAAGGAAAAGAGAAAAACGAGAAAGTCATGAGTTAAGATTATTTGTTCATAAGATCTGGAAGTGCCATGCATCTCTGTAAGCAAAGAGAGAGAAACCATACACACACACTCACACACACTCACACACACACGTGCACTCACAGACTCACTCAGAATAGACGTCCAAAGAACACCTAAGTTCACAGTATAGTCAGGCTGAGTGGTCAGTACTACTTGGGGTGGTAAGTGAAGCAGATGCTAAGGATGCTAAGTCCCTAGCATCCTGTGTTTAATCAACATGTGAGGACAGGAGGCATCCGTTATTGCCTTGTTGGGCTTAATCGGGAGGAACTGAAGAATATGGGATAAGAGGAGTGACTTCAATAAAGGACGAAATCCAAATCTGAGTCATAGCACAAGAGGAGGCTGGCCATGAGCAATGGCTGTATCATGTTCCTTCTCTTCCTCCCTTCTTTTCTCAGTGCTAATCCTTTTCCTGTTTTTCAGCCCCGGTAGAGGAGATCAAGCTCTCTATCCTGTTGAATGAGATGGTGGAGTCTGGGGAAGACATCGTGCTTCTATGCTCTGTGAAGAAAGCATCTTTCCCAATCACCTATAAGTTTTACAGAGAAAAGGAGGTCAAGCCCTTCCACCAAATCATCTTGAATGAAACCAATGCCATTTGGCTCAATCCACAGGCTAGCAAGAAGCATGAGGGACAGTATTACTGCACGGCCTCCAACAGAGCCAACCCTACCAAAAATGTCCCCCAAAGCAACATATTGACAGTCAGAGGTGAGTTGGGGTCTCAATAGGGAGATGTAGTGTGTGGCTATCAAGGGTGAGGCCAGAAAGCTCACCACTTATAAGAGGAAGTGGGTGGGAGTTTAGGGTTTCTTACTGAGGGTTAAGAGGCCAATGTCCTTTAGGCTTTTTGGTTGCAGGTGACAAAACCCACTCAAATTAAATATGAAAGAGGAATTGGTTATTATAAAGAATTTAAATTATTTCACACGGTTGTAATTCCAAGTTCTTGGTGGAGAGAAACCAATTAGCCCATCTTGGGTCAAATGCCCACCCATGGCCCACCTGTGGCCGTGGGAACTGGGTCATGCAGAACAGACATGGTTAGAGGAGCCCTCATGTGTGGTGGAGGGTAGTTTCCTAGAGAAGAAGGAGAACCAAACGAACCCAAAAAAAAGTCTGTTTCAGTCCTACAGTCCTTTAAGACCATAACTGATTCTGTAGCAAGAACTACCATTTCCGCAGCAGCCGTGATCATAGGGTCCCTCAGAGGTGGATGCTCAGTGTAGTGTGCGGTTACAAGAACCAAAACTCAGTCTTATTTGTTGCTTAAAGCTGTTTCTTACTGGCAGAGAAAAAAAAATATATCTATTTTAATTTCTCTTCTTTCCAGTCTTTCTTGCCCCATGGAAGAAAGGACTTATTGCATTGGTTGTCATCGGAGTGATAATTGCTATCTTGGTCCTTGGGGCCAGATGCTATTTTCTGAAGAAAGCCAAGGGTGAGCACGTTCTTTCATTCTATTCTGACACATGGCCCTCATCAGAAAACTAGCCATGGACATGAGGGGCTTCAGCTTCATTGGGGTACGGGACTCTTCTCTGCCCCAATGGGAGCTGAAATGTAACTGATGATAGTTGATTTTCTCCTTGGCGTGTCAGCTTGATAACGAAAGATCTTGGCTTTAGTGGGTGTGGAGCTTTTATTGCCTCTGAATTTAGCTAGGCAAAAATGTGACTGCTTACCTAGTGGGCAACCCAGAAAAGATGAATTTGGGGAGAAGTTCCATCTACGTATGGCCAGAAGAAGCCATTTTTGTGCATTTGGCCACACTTAGTCCTGCAGTTGGTAGAGTGGGGTGTGAGTGTTATGGAGACACCACGCCCCTCACACCAAATGTCCCCAGTTAATCTCCCTGTTGTACCATGATTTCTGTCTTGTGCTTGAGGTTAGCCATACATGGAAGGGAAGCCAGAACCACCCACTGGCGCTCAGGAATCAGTCAGTTAGCCTGGACTGGTGGAAAAGGGCACAGCACCAGTAAATTCTGCAAAGATTTTTGTTGGATAAGGTGGCTTCTGTTGGAGTCCCTGGTGCTGCTGCCCAAGATGGGCAGATGAGGTAAGGAGGGGCCCTGGGATTTTTCTAGAACAGAAAAGCTGCAGCCCCTCTGAGAAGACAGGCTCCAGAACAAACCCCTTCCTAAGGGGATTGGGTCATGGCAGAACAGACATGGTTAGAGGACAGGCTTGGTCTCAGGCCAGCTTGAAATCCAAAGCACAGGGAATGATTCAGCCTTTACTTTTGGAATGGTCTTGAATCAAAGAGATACTTGTCCTTTCATCTGGCTAATCTGGTCTCTGTACCGTTGTCTTCATCTCTATCACATTCCACTAAAGAACACAGCTCCTGGCTACAACAACAAAATGTCATACTTCTGGACGAAATGATGTGAAATCTCTCAGACCAAGAAAAGACCTACTTTGGTTTTTTTCTTTTTCTTACATATATTTTTTAAAGCAGAAATACATTTGGCTTTCTATACTCTTTTTATGGGTAATCCATCTTTCAAGAAAGTCAGATATGGTTGAAATGAGTGTTCCTATCTGCTGTGGACGTGGGTACGATTTGCTGACTTTGGTTTTTCTTTCTCTTTTAAAGCCAAGCAGATGCCAGTGGAGATGTCCAGGTCAGTGTGTGTCCCTGGAGGAGAGGCAGTTGCACTGTAGGCGTGGGTAGACTTGTCTGTGGAGAAACGCTGGTCATTAGGAAGTTTTCAGTGGTTCTTGGGAAATTCAGAATAAAAAGGTTGTGAGGGGTGTGTGTGTGTGTGTGTGTGTGTGTGTGTGTGTGTGTGTTTGTCTCAGTGGAAGATTGCCAAGTGTCCTTTCACGGGAAGAAATGGCTTTATTCTGAGGTCATGTCCTTCCTACGCTATTACTTGTAAAACCCCCTTTACCTTATGAAATAATAATGGTAGTACATGGAATTTTAAAAATTTACTTACTTGGCAAAACAGATTTGGCCTAAAAATATGGTTGTACTATTTTCACTGTTCTTTAAATCCAAAATCTCAAATTATGCCAACAATAGCTTTGTAGCACAGAATGAGGAGTTCAGGGGGTTGGGATTCACCTGAGAAAGGACTCCTGTTGTTTGTGTGCCCTTTGACCCTGACACCTATTTAAATAGCAAAACGTTTAATAATCTTAGAACTGGAAAAAAAAATGTTAGCTTTCCAAATTAGAGAGAGAAGTTTTCCTCACTTCAGAAATCTCTTCATGGTTTTCTCGTGATCTTTCCTTGATTATTTTGTTGGTTTGAAGTTAAAGCCGAAAAAGAGTTACATGGGTTTTTCCTTTTCAAATTTCATTTTAAGGCCGGCAGTACCACTTCTGACCTCCAGCAATGAGAAGGTGTTGTCAGATGCCAGTACTGAAGCCAACAGACCTTACGGTACAGCCATGGTTTTCTGCAGTTACTAAGAGGTTCTCCCAACTTGCTGCCCACTCCATTACCCCTTCTTAGAAGCAGAATCTGTAGGTGGTGGGGTTAAAGTTGGTAGGGAAGCCCTGCCTTCAGGCATGAGCGCGTAGTCTAATCAGTCACTGGATGTGAACTGGTAAGCAAAACAAAAGCTTAAGAAGGAAAGCAGAGCATTTTAGTCTAATTTCGCTACCTCCTAAATATCCCAGAGAATGAAAGGTGGACAGACAATAATTATAAAGCTGCGGCTACCCCTCCTGAGTTGCCTAGGTGTAATCTTTTTCCATTTGTAAGAGAGAGCTATCAAATTACGGCATTGGAAAACATCTCAGATGGAATTATTTATTACAAGCACAAGACAGTTTAATTTCAAACTTGCCACAACAGGAAACCAATTTAAATACTTCTCTGTTAATAAAGGCATTTTTTTCCAAAAAAAAAAAAAAAAAAGGAACAATATAGGAATATCTGGTTATGAGTCTTATTGCAAGCTTAAGAGTCAGCTCAGTAGGGCCGTTAGCCAATCCCAGGATTTTTTAACCCTATCAGGCCTAGGAGAAGAACATTGCTCAAGAGGGGCCTATAATTACATCACATAAATAGTTTTGTTCTAGGCCAGATTTGGAGCAGTTTTCTTTCTTTATCAGCAGTTTGGGAATAGAAAGCCCATGTTCCTTTCTAATTCTATAACTGTATTCTGCAATACAAGAAAATTTTAGGATATGCCTTTTACAGGGCATACTTGAGAGATATGTTTTGAGAACTGAGAAATTCTTATAGTACTGAATCATAAACCTTTAAAAAGTGAAATAAAACATTTTTAGTAACAAAAGTAATATATCTTAAAGAGAAAAAACCAAATACGCCATTTAAGAAAATACATTCTGAAAAATTTGGTGAATATTTAGCAAAAAGTAATCCAGTGCTATAAAGAAAATACCTTTTTGTGGTATAAGGTGGGTTTTGTTGGCTATTTGTGTTATTTATACAGAAATACAGAGATGCTTTAAATTAAATGCTAATATAGACATACTAAAATAGGATTTCCCCTCAATTTCCAAAATGTAAGAAATAGTCCAATTCTTATATTTTCTCTGTGGATTATATCAGTTTATAAATATATTTTAGTAATCACAATAGTATTTAGTTCAGATACATATTGAAAGCCATTTGTTCTTTAGGAATAGTATTTATAACATTTATAAGAATTCTTTTTAGTAAAGAACAACTTGATAAAAAAGATTTAAAAATTTTCGCCCACTGAGGGCAGGCTGGAAGCACTGCAGTGTCTTTAAACCATGTTCTCATGGTTCCATTTCTCCAGTTGGAGAAGGTTAGTTTACTGGTGTCCTTCACGTTTGTGGTTACAAGGCCATCCCTTCTACAATTAAGTTTAATTTCCAATGAACTTGCTCAAAATGAACAATCTGGGATCCTGAACAATTCATAAGTAGAAGTGTCCCTCTTGTGGGATGGTGGATGTCCCACTGGTGTTTGAAAGAGACCACACAGTGGGTTGGATGGGGCCACAGAGGGACCAGGAGGGGATCCAGAACCCAGATACATTGTTGGTTGCAGCTATACAGAAGAAATGAAGCTTGACTTCCTTTATTAGTGGCACTGGATTTTTAAAAAGTTACATGGAAAACTAGAATTTCCACTATTGCTCATTCCTAATTGCTATTTTTCAACTAGGTTACAATGAAGACATTGGAAACCATGCGATGAAACCAATGAATGAAAATAAAGGTAATTACCTAATTTAATTTTTTAATTAGAAAACTTTACATTTAAAAAGACCTCTAGGAAAAGAACTAAAACTGTTAAGACCCATGGATATTTCCCTACCTCCCTTAATAACCCTTTCCCAGATGATAAGTAAAAGGGAGAAGGCTGGTTGCTTTTTCCAAAGATGCTATCTGGTATCCTAATGGGAAAGTAACCTGAATTCCAGTAGGAAAGAACTGGGTTTTATCCAAAAAGGAACTTCCTAAATCAGAATGGACGCTGAGTAAGGCAGGACGATCTCCTTTCTCTTGGATGGTAGAGGAGGAGGTGTTTTTTGTTTGTTTGTTCGTTTTTTAATTTAAAATAGCATCACCGCAAATCGTCAGCCTATACACCTTAAACTTATATATTTTATATGTCAAATAAATATGTACAATATTTATATGTACAATATTTTATATTGTATTTCAGTAAAGTTGAGAAAAAATGTTAAGGGTCTGGGGTGGGGGAAAGCACACAGGGTACTTCAAAAGTAATGAAAATGTTTTGTTTTTTTCTTAAAAAGCGCAATGGATATACACATATTTATTAAATTATTTCTATTTTATACATAACATACAAATATTACAAATAAATACTAAGTACTTAATGAACATGAAGAATACACTTTAAAATAAAATAGCATGGCTGCTAATTTTTAAAGACAATTAACAATAGATTGCTTGCTTCTGCCTAAAGCTCAGAAGGGTTAGGCTTAATCATTTTTCAAAATTCCCTTCCCCTCGGGGCTGCTGTCATGGGAACTAATGCTGTAAAGAACTAACTGCATGGATTCTGTAAACACCTTGACTGCAGATTCACTGTTTTAGATGCTGGTGAGAAACCCTGATTCTTTGGGGCTTCAAAAATAAAACAATAATGTTATATTGGGTTGAAGAGAAACTAATTTGCTAGATTTCACCTCAGCTTTCTGACCACTTTCATTAACATGCTTTTCTGTGTGTATGCATCACAGTCTCAGAGCATTTTAAGGCTGGGGACCCTCTTCTCCGTTTCCTGAGATAATTTCCATCTTGGAGATCACTTTCTATTCCTGTGGCCATGGAGGCTTCCAGAGCAGCATTCCCCAACCTTTTCGGCACCGGGGACGGGTGCTCTTATGAGAATCTAATGTTTGATGATGTGAGGTGGAGCTGAGGTCGTGATGCTAGTGCTGGGGAGCGGCTGCAAATACAGATGAAGCTTCGCTCGCCCACCGCTCACCTGCTGCTGTGCAGCCCAGTTCCCAATAGGCCACAGACCGGTATCAGTCCATGGCCCAGGGGTTGGAGATCCCTGCTATGGCTGGTACTGGCTGTTTTCTGTATCTTCTGAGCATTTACAAATCTTCCCACTGCAGAAACAAGAGGGACCCAGACAGGAAGGTCCTTCCACACTGCAGGGAACACAGGGCCATCACTGTCTTCCCCAGATAGGAGCTTCTCACCCACTTAAAATGGAGTTTGCCTGTGCTGGCTTCCCCCTCAAAATACGGAATACTTTAATCATTTGAGTAGAAGTCTCTAATGTGATCTGAAGCCCCCCAAGGAGAGTCTGTCTAACCACATGGTGCTCTGGTTCCTTTGAGCAGAGCCTCTGACCTTGGACGTGGAGTACACAGAAGTGGAAGTGACCTCTTTGGAGCCTCACGAAGGTAAATACCATCACTCAAGCAATTCCCCACATTTTGCCCTCTCTTTGGGTGTAGACACACAAGGTGGAGTGGGCTGCGACCCAGGAGTCTAGTTACCCGCAACTGCCCAGAAGGGGAGTCAGGAGACAGACCTGCTGGACATGTCTCAGGCAGGAGCAATGACCCCCCATCCAGGCTTTAAGGTATAAAATTTCATTAACTATTACTTGCCTGTTAATAATGGATATGTTTTATTGAGCAATTACTAAGTGCCAAGAAATGTGTTTATTGAGAAGCTTTTTGAGGTCAGCCTCACTCCTGGGTGTTCGGGCTTTCTTCCAGAGGCATGCTCCTTGCCCAAACCCAGCATCTTCCTTAAAAAGATGCTTGCACACTGAGCTTGTGTAAATGAGATACGTGTTTAAAGGTATTGAGGGCTTTGTTATGTAAAGGGACACAGAATCCCTTCCCATGTAAACAGTGGAATTAGCTTTAGCTTCAGGTTTTGTTTTTATGCGTGGTTCTCTCCAGACCTGCCTGGAGCTCCCTAGCTCAAGTTCAGTGCTAGGGAGCCTGGCTCAGAGGGGCTGGTCCACAGCAAACCCTGGAACATTAGTCTCAGCTGCCAGGAAGCTCCTGGGGCTACTGCCTTGCATCCCCCTTCCTATGGAGGCTAAGGCCAGGCTGTGCCCACTCAGCCAGGCAGGCCTGGGGCTGTTTTCCAGACCAACCCTACCTAGCATTAGCCAGAGCCACATGGAGGTAATGTCCTCTTCACCGCTTGCTCCACAATCTGGGAGGAGTTTTGGGTTCCTGCCTTCTTCCCTTGATTGAGTTCAGGTACCATGTCAACATGTATGGGCTAAGAACCTTCCAGGTAGCGCCATCCCATCCAGCCCCTTGGCTGTGAGCTGCACAACTGGGCCACCATTCCCATAGTCGGCAATCAGAATGGCCCCTAGCATTGGTGTGACCCAATCTGCAAAACTGCACGGGGCATCCCTCTTCTAAGTCCGGACTGGAACTGGGAGGCATGTGGGCCATGGCAGGCCTGAAGCTCGCTTCCTCTGTATCTCACTGTAAAGTAATCCTCTTATTGAGTTAACAAATTAAGGGCCTGTGATGAACCAGCAGCAAAAGTGAATATGTGTTTCCTCCCAGGGAAGAATAGCCCATTTGGGAGCCAGGAAAACAAGGAACCAAAGAATCAATCGTATCTGGTTATATTAACTGCTCAGAAGGGAGAGAAGGGGGTACAGTGAGAAGGCCCAAAAGGTGACACTTCTTTTGGGTAGTCCCAGAAGGCCTGCTTGAGGGATGCCATTTAAGCTGCAGCCTGAAGGGTACAAAGAAGGTGGCCCCACCAAGAGGAAGAAGGACTGAGGAAATGAGGAGTGTGAGGTGCCCCAGAGTTTGTCTCATTTAAGGATCTGAAAGGAAAATCAGGTGTCTGCAGAGACAGCGAGAGGGAGAGGGGGAGGAGGCGACGAAACTGGGGAGGACCGGCTGGGGCCCCGGCTTGCAGGGCCCTCAGAGTTCTCTTTGCATTCCAGTCTCTGCGTTTGGAAGGCTGTGAGCACAGAATTAGCAGGTTCCAACTTGCGGCTTTGGGAGGATCCTTGTGGCTGTCGTGGAAGACGATTGAAGGGGCCAAGAGTATTAGCAGACAGGAGGGGATGAGGATAGAGCCAAAGTGCCTGCAGTGGATGGATTCCAGATATATTCTGAGGACGGATCACTGCACTGGATGAAAAACTTCATGGCCAGAATGGGGGAGACAAAATTACTCCCTGTTTCTGCATGGACAGTTGCGATGTCTGAGACTGGGAGGAACAGGCTCGTGGTGACGACTGGTTCAGCTGGGTGAAATTTGTGATGCCCAAGAGGAGACAGCACAGGGGTCTGGTGCTCAGGCCCATTTCCGGGTGGGCTGGGCAGATGGAACTGTAGGGGGCTCCCCGCCAGCCTTCCCAGGTCCAGCCTGAGCCCCTCCATCACTGCGCATCCTGGGCTCTGTCTTGTGGGAAGCAGCTTACTTCCTCTTAAGAGGACTTAAATTTAGAGGAAAGGAGAACCATAACAAAAGGGCAGGGCCGCTGAAAGATGTTCAATGTGTGTGAGAATACACCCTGACACCCACCCCCCATTACTGCTGTCTTCTTGCCACTCCGCACCCACTAAGCCCTTAAGCCGCACCCACTAAGCCCTTAAGCCAGCCGTCATTGCCCTGGGCTCAGACCTTGAGGTTCTGATACTCATCCCAGAGGCCAGACCCTGCCCTTGCTGCTTGCTCTGCTGCAGGTAGGGCCAGGGCAGAGGTGGAATTACGAGGGCTGTGCCTGACGCCCAGAGGCTTAGGATTTAAGGATGCCGAAGGAGGAAGCAGGAAGCAGGGTTTTGTCCTTGGAAGGGGTTCCTTTGGGAATGTTTCCCCGTCAGTAGCGTCTGGTTTAATTTTTTGCGTTTGAAGGTGGGGAGCGGCAGGATGTTGAAAGAAGAAAAACTAGAACAGAGGGAGGCAGGGTGCTTTCCTTGCCGAGGCTGTGCAGCTGCAGGGCCGCAACCACCCAAGTGGGCACATTTTCCCAATTTGCACAAATGTACTGTGTGGCCTGTGGGGCCCTGAACAGAGCAAGGATGAGGGTCACTTGGGTTTGTAGAAGATTCATGTTGAGTTTTCTGGACCCAGCCTCTTTGGCAACTGAGGATAGTGGGGGAGGGCAGGCCTGGCCTATGATGCTGTCCCTTTGCTTTCTCTTGAGTGGGAAGTTACCAGGAAAGGGCTTAGTGGATGAAAGGCCAGTGATGAGTAAACTTGAGTAAACTTGAGCTGGTCTTGGCCAACCCAGTTATCTCTTCTCAAGGCCTTTCTCATACACAGTTGGGGTGGAGGAGGGGATAAGGACCATGTCCATTTCTAACCCTGGCTGGCAGCTGACCAAGTGGTCCCTTGGGGATGGAGGAGGGGCAGGAAGGAACCCCAGTTTGCTGCATGTTTGCTTTGAGGATAATTGCTGGGAAAACCCCATGATGTTGAAGCCATCTCCTTCTCTGTTAACAGAAAAACAAGCCAATATAAAGCCCCATCCGGAAATATCTCTGACAGCAGAGACAAATAGCCTGTTGGCTGGTTTAGTCGTTAGCAGGCAGCTGCTGCTGGGGGGCAGCTAGAGGAGGGGATAGTGATGAGCTGGCAACACCCCACCCATTGCTGAGCTGGGCAGGACCGAGAAGGCAACAGGAGAAACCACTGGGGCAGCTGCAACTTTGCAGCTCAACCAAGAAGTGTCAGCCCCCCTGCTGCCCAGGCTGATATGCAGTTATGAGCTAAAAGGGAGTCGAGTGCAGCTCTTCAGGTCCAGAGGGTGTTAGAGTGTCCCCAAGGTGACCAGAGAGCCCCACCGGCCACCCCTGATGTGCCTGGTGCAGTAGAGTTCACACGAGTGTGTAGGCCCTCACGCTTGGCCTCCCAGCCCCCATGCTGCATTCCTTCCTTCATCCCCGCCCCCCAGCTCCACGTGGGGCGGGGTCAGAGGCTGAGCTGGCATGGGCCCAGCTGCACCTGGTATGCAGTGTCCCACAGCACTGTTTTCACACCCATCTGCCCCACAACCTGGAGCTCCCGAAAGCTGGGACCAGGTTTCCTCTTCTGCGGCTCCCGGCACTCAGTAGGTGTTAGGATTGTGCTGAATGAGTGACTCGCCAGGCCTGACGCTGGGAAGAGTCCCTCGGGATGTGGTAGAACATCCCGCAGATATGGGGGTCCCTGGAGCATCCCTCTCCACTCCCAGATCTGTCTCGTGGTGGTGTGGGCATCTCTGCTGTGCTCTTAGACAAAGGCAGGTGTCCATCCCCTCAGGAGCGGCTGGTATCCCAGCCAGTCTCCTGAGTTCCAATTCCTGTTCCGTGCCCCAGGGGAGTCGCTAGGATGCCTTTTGTGAGGTCCTGCCCACTCCAAGTGCCCCAAGTTCATCTGTAGGGAGTTGAGCCAACCCTTAGGTTTTCTCCTGGCATTCGGGTCCTGACACAAGAGCCACCACCTTTCAGTGTGTAATGAATGACTGGGATTTTAATCGTAAAGGCAAAAACCTCAAGGATTGGGCTGATTATGCCAAGACCTTCCCGAAGGTCATAGGTCTCAGGCAGAGATGCCTACAGGGACATTGACTAGCTAGTTCCTCAACTGTCACATCAAACCTTTACAGGTACCTCCAAGCAGCTGTGCAGAATCTGGGACAGGGAGGTGCACAAGACCTCAGACGCTGCCTGAAGGAGCTCCGGGTCCACCAGGGGAAATAGTCATGGGGACAAATAATGTCAGCGTGTCATGAACAAGTGTCCCCAGAGTGCTGTGAGAACAGAGGGGGACTACATAACTGCCCAGGGCATAGGGAAGGCGTGAGTGCATGAGGGGTATACAGGTGTGTGAGGGTGTTTGCACCCAAGTGCAGGACCAAAGCTTGGAGGACAGAGAAGAATGGGGCAAAGAGAAAGGGCTGTGCGGGGAGTGGAGGAGTTTGTGCTGAGTCAGGAACGAGAGGGGCAATTGTCCCTGGAGCAGAGTAAGTGGAGGGCATCTCAGTGCAGTTAGAGTCCATGGTGTGCCCCCGCCATCTGCCACTGAGGAAAGAAACATCTACGTGGCACATCTAATTGTGGCAGCAGGAAGTGGCTTACCCTGTCTGGGGCTCTGTTCCCCAAACTGTAGAGGGAGAATACTGGCCACATGGCATCGGGTAACTTTCTACAATGAGGCTTCCTGGTCCTTCGTGCAGGTGAGAGAAGTCAGGGGAGTGGCCAGGTTCTATCATGGTTCTGGAGAGTTTGTGGGTATGTGTACATGAGTGTGCACACGGGAGTGTGTCTGTATGTGCATACTGTGTGTACATCTTATGCGTGTATAGACAATGCATGTGGATGCGCTGTGTTGTGCATGCACAACCTGTGTGTATGCGTAAACTGATGACCTTATGGGAGCTCTTTGTCCCCCAAGCCTTTGCATCTCCTCTGGATGGAATCCA